AAGCGGGCTGCGTGCGTTCGAGAAGCGACGCTCCGGCGCGGCCGCAACCGGGGGCGCACACGCTGGCGACTTCCCTAGGAGCTACGGCGCGCGAATTCGCGAGCCGCGAACACCGTGACGGACGCCGCTCGCGCCGCCGCGGTTCGCCGAGATCAGTCGCGCGCCGAAACCCAGGAAGCACCACGAAGTACCCACAGACCCACGTCCCGCAAGAGAGGTCCTCGCGATCCAGCCAGGCACCGGTCGCCCGGAGCGCGACTGCGCGACAGGGCGACGCCATCGACCCCGGCCATCGCCTCGGAGAGCAAACGAGGTGACGAGCTCTCCAGCCGCCAGCGGTGACGGCACAGCGGCCGCGCCATGGCGCGGCTCGTCGCGGCCTACGCGGAGCTGAGCACGCGGCGGCCCTACAGCGTCGCCTTCGCGAGCTGCACCTTCAAGGGCATGCTCGCCGACGCCTTCAGCCAGCGCGTCGTCGAGGGCCGGAGCGAGCAGGACTGGAAGCGCACGGGCGTCTTCGCGTTCTACGGCGGCTGGTACTGCGGCTGGTTCCAGCACGCGCTCTACAACGTGGGCTACGCGTCGCTCTTCGGGTTGGAGACGACGGTCTACAACGCCGCGCGGAAGGTCGCGTTCGATAGCGCGTTCCACATCCCGCTCGCGTGCTTCTGCGTGGCAATCAAATCTTCAAGTTGACTTCAATTTTCGCGTAATCGAACGGTTTGGACCAGACTCTTCGGCTGTGTTTCGAGAACTCGACGAGAGCAATCGATCCGTCCAAAAATCAGCCGAATCGACTTCGATTTGACCGAGCTAGAGAAGTTTTTGCTGGACAGGGCGTTCCACTGGTTGATTTCCACACAGGTGTGCTTCCCCGTGTACTACGCCTACAAGCACGTGCTCTACGACGGCGACGGCTGGCGCGCGGGGCTCGAGCGCTACAAGGGCGAGGCCGCGGACATGTGCCGGCGCTACTACACGGTCTGGGTCCCCGCGAACATGCTCGTTTTTACGGTCGTGCCCGTGCCGCTGCGCATCGGCTTCATCGCGACGACGTCCTTCGGCTGGCTCACGGCGGCGTCCTTCTTCACGCACCAGCACTAAAGTTTTTAGTTGTGCCGCGGCGCGTCGTCGGGTGCAGGGCAACTTCACCCCGACGTATCTGTGACAACGCATACGATGGGGCCGCCCCCAACCACAACACACACACCACTCCCGCCCAGAACCACGAGATAAAACCCGGAAAAAAAACATGGGCGGCGCCGCGAGCAGTGGGAAGCAGGCCGCCGCGCCGGCGCCGGCGGCGGGCCGCTCCGGCTCCATCGTCGGCCCGAACCCGCAGCTCGACGCGGAGACGCAGGAGATGATCCGCGAGACCCAGCGGCGGGGCAGCGGCCAGCAGCGCAAGGCCAGCTGGGGCCTCTTCACCGGCGGCGAGCGCCGCAAGTCCAAGGAGGTCGTGCTCTCCCAGGAGGCCGAGCTCCAGACCGAGTCGTACGCCGAGGCGATGCGATTGATAAAACAGCAGCAGGAGGAGCTCGCGCGGCTCCGCAACGAGAACCGCAAGGTGCAGGCCGAGCTCGCCGCGGCCAAGGAGCTGCTGGGCGACCGGGACCTCGCGCACATGGACGGCAGGGAGAAGGCCGCGACGCGCGATTTAAGGGGCTCCGCGGGCTACATCGCGCCGCCGAAGACGCAGCCCAGCGGCTCGAAGGCGTCGACGACGACGAAGTCGCGCCGCGAATCCGCGCGGCGCAAGGTCATCCGCAACTTCGCCGACGACCTCGCGCTCTCGCGGCCCGAGGTCGTGCCGAAGGGCGACGGCGTCCGCGACTTGATCTGGAACGTGTGCAAGGAGAATTTGCTCTTCAGCGATTTGGACGACTCCTGCCGCGACCGGTTGACGGACCCCTTCGCGCCCATCGAGTGCGGCGCGGGGGAGGTCGTCGTGCGCCAGGGGGAGAACGGCGAGCACTTTTACGTCGTCGAATCCGGGCACCTGCGGGTCTTCGTGAAGGGCGACGAGGAGGAGGAGGAGAGCAAGGCGCCGGAGGCGAGCTCGAAGGAGCCCTGGGACCTGGCCATGTACGAGTCGCACGACGCGCTGGGGAAGTACGTGCTGTCCGTGGGCGCGTGCGGCGGCTTCGGCGAGTTGGCTTTAATGTACGACACGCCGCGCGCGGCGACGGTCATCGCCTGCGGCGACTGCAAGCTCTGGGCCATCAAGCGGTCCGACTGCAAGAGCGTGCTCCAGTCCATCCAGCGCGCGGAGATGAAGGGCCGCGTGCGGTTCCTGCGGCGCGTCCGCATCGGCGCGGCGACGGGGAGCGACGAGCCGCTGGGCCTCGGCGAGTTCCTGACGGACCAGGAGCTCGCGCGCCTGGCGTCCGTGCTCGAGTCGGAGGTCGTCGGCGAGGGCGAGATCATCATCCGCCAGGGCGAGCCGGGGAACCACTTCTACATCGTGGAGGAGGGACGGGTCGACGTGCATCGGAACGAGCCCTCGAGCGGCCGCCGGAGCTCCGTGATCCTCAAGGAGAACAAGCTCAAGCACATCGAGACCGGCGGCTACTTCGGCGAGCGGGCGCTCATCAACGAGGAGCCGCGCGCGGCGTCCGTGGTGGCGGCCGCGCGGTCGCGGCTTTTGACGCTGTCGCGGGAAGACTTCGTCAAGCACCTCGGCGCGCTTGGCGGACCTCGTCGCCGCGGCCCACATCATCCGCGCCGAGGAGGGCCAGACGCGGCGGCGCATGCTCGGCAACGCGCGCCACGACCGGCGGCTCTCCGCGCGGGCCATCCAGATCGAAGACGACGCGGGGCCGGACCCTGTGTGGAAATCAAATCTTCAACCCGACTTCAATGTGAGCGTGATTGAACGGATTGCGCCGGACTCTTCGGCTGTGCTTCGAGAACTCGATGAGAGCAATCGATTCGTCCAAAAATCAGCCGAATCGACTTCGATTTGACCGAGCTAGAGAATTTCAAAGTTTGGTCGGGACGTCCCAAACCAGTGGTTGATTTCCACACAGGCCCGACCCGGACGAGATGCGCTTGGAAGACCTCACGGTGCTGGGCACGCTCGGCCGCGGGTCCTTCGGCATCGTGCGCCTCGTGCGCCACGCGGACACGGGCGCGACCTTCGCCTGCAAGTGCCAGGCGAAGGCCAAAATCGTCGACGAGGCCATGGAGGCGTACGTGACGATCGAGTGCAAGATCCTCGCCATGTGCGACAACCCCTTCGTGTTGAAGCTCTACAGCACGATGCAGACGGACCGCTGCGTCTACCTCGTGCTCGAGCTCATGCCCGGCGGCGAGCTCTACAAGCACCTGCAGCAGATGGTCTGCTTCCCGGAGCCCATGCTGCGGTTCTTCGTGTCGCAGATCGTCTTCGCGTTCGACTGCCTCCACGGCAAGGACGTGCTCTACCGC